GAACTGTATATACCCATCCGCATCATCCCCCGAGAGGCATAGAGGACAAAGGGCATGGAGACAAGTGTCAGTGTTTGTGCCCCTGGCTGAACCATTAGCAACGCAGCCAGTTGTCTGACCAGAGTCTGTGTTATCAGGCAGAAACTTGAAATTGCCAGGCTCTGTCTTGTTAGTTTGCAAGAAGAGCAAGTCCCACACTTTCCACAGTACTTGATGCCTGACAAGCAGAAAACAGCCGAATGATCTGATGGAATTGCCCCTTCCTGCTTGGGGCGTTTGTGAAAAGTATGAAAAGCTTCTTGACAAAACCAAAGCCTAGAGCTTAGACAGTACTCATGGCTTTAAGCAGGATGCTGCCATCCGGCAGTTCTGTATGGAGCCTTCTCATGTGGGGTCAGGGTTACAGGTGACAGAATTGCAAGCAGAGCCCTTAATTTTATGCACAACTGATAATCAGAACAATCAAGATACTGACATTTTTACTAATGAACAATCGTTAACTTTGGTTAGTAATTTATGACAGCAAAAGTGAACAGCTGCATCGCTGTAGATGGTGTCCCTTTGAATATCGCTTCCCGAACTGTCTGTGATTTCCCACAGGTGTTGGTGAAGAATGCTGAAACTCACGGTGATAAAAGAACATTGGATCTGAACGAGAAGCTGTCGTCACAGTAATCTCAGGCTGTGAGACTACGTAAGAACTGAAGAAAGTAGGACAGGCGGTGACGAGTTCACCAGAACAGCTAGTCTAGGACTAGAGCTGTATCAGCTGGGCGCGGTGGTGCACGCCTTTAATCCCAGCACTCAGAAGGCAGAGGTGGGTGGATCAATGTGAGTTCCAGACCAGACAGCAGTACACAGTGAGATCCATCTTGAAAAAAAAATTTTAAATAATAAAGCAAATAAATTAAAAGGTACAGTTTTAGTCATCCCTTGCTTTCCCTTTTTCCTTTTTTATTCTAGAGAAGTTGAAGTTCTTACGTTAGGGCTGTAACTTTCCAGTAACCCTTGATCTGCTTTTAACCTGAAAGACATCTCTGACTTGGTCCTTAAGGAGGTGAAACCCTCACTCCCTTACTTGTTTTTGTTTGTTTGCTCGTGTTCTTTCCTAGATAGGGTTTCTCTGTCCTGGATCTCACTCTGTAGCCCAGGCTGCCCTGGAACTCAGAGATCCGCCTGCCTCTGCCTCCTGAGTGCTGGGATTAAAGGTGTGCGCCACCACCGCCCAGCACTAACCGTTACTTCTTACATTTGCACGGGTATAGTATGGTGTCTTTTGGAGGTTGCCTTTAACAATTAAACCTTTGTATCCATTTTACAAATAATATGAAAAAGTAAATTTTCATTTTTTTTTTTTTTAAATTTCAGAGTTCTTCAGACCAAGTCTTGGTGAAATATACATGTGCTCTTATAGTCTGTCTGGCTAGTCCCATCTCAGATCCTAGTGAAGGAGCCTTACATGAATGTTTGTAAGATTTGACTGCTAATGAATATGTCTGTAAAGTTTAAAATGCTCAGTTACCTAGTTGCATTTAAAAACAAATATTAATGAAAAATATGTTGAAAATGACGCTGATAATATTTAATTATTCGTGCAATTTCTTCATGATGAAAAGACATGAACTACCTGAAATAAAACAAAAATCAGTATCTTCCTTTTTCATATTACCAATATGAGACATGGTTTTTAAGTTGGGATTTAAAGCTTAAAAGCAGAGTTACCTATTTTTTTTTCAAAAAAGTAATTTATATATTTAAATAACCTGTATGTCACTTACTTTGGATTGTGGTTTTCAATATTCCAGTGGGCATGGTGTTACATGCCTTTAATACCTGCCCTTGGGAGGTAGAGGCAGGCAGATCTCTGAATTTTAGATTAGTCTAGTCTGCATAGAGAATTCCAGGACAGCCCAAATTGCATAATGAGTTCTTGTCTCCACAATTTTATTTCAGATGTAAACATTTATTGTACAGAGGTATGTGGCAATATAATTTAGTATATGTTTTTTTTCTAAGCCAGCAGGCTCATTGTATTATTTTCTGAAATCATATGAACTGATAATATCTTTTAATTAAATTGTACTTCAGAGGTTATTTTCTTAGACAGAACTGTAACCTGGTATTTCCCAATTGTAGTGGAACATTGTAATCACAGTCAGAAACCTTGGGATGGGAGGGATCAGAACTCAGACTTCGGATGGAGCCTGAGGCAGTCTAACTCTTGTACAGACCTGAACACACATGGTCCTCTGCTTATTTCTTCCTTGTCCTCCTCCTAAGCGATCCAGTGTTTATAGCCTGACCCACAGGCGGCTGGAGATGCTCTGCAGGAGGCAGCTGTGCAGCCTGGTGCCCACGTCCTTCTGTTTCCTCCTACGACTGAGCTGCTGCCATCTGCCTGTGTTAGTCACAGCCACTGCCGTCCACCTGCTCTCTGGAGGTGCCATGGGCTTCGCGAGGTTACCTCCTTCCCCTTTAGATTATGTGACCAATTTTTGGTTTAGAAAATGCATTCACTTAGGATTTGTGTACTGAAGATCACTCCTCATGGTGTGTTTGGCCTTTGCTCCAGCCCACATTCAAGTGGTGACCGTTGGATTATTTTGCCAAGTCTTGAACCTGAGTCTTCTGGAAATTGGGGTGGTAAAAATGTCTTTAATATCGATTCAGATCTTCTTTTTTGCATTAAAATGTACACATGCAGGTTATTTTCTGCCAAACTTGAGATCATCTTTTTTTTAACCTTCCCCTTTAATATTAATGTTAAACAATATTCTTAAAACAAAGTCAATTTGAAACAAATAAACATTATAAAACTGTAGAAAATTGAGTTAAATTAAAACTAATTTCTCCAAGGACTGGTATTTCATTGTTATTGCTACATTTGATTCTAGAATTACAATGTGTTTTCTCTTTGTTTTTTTTAAACCCACCATTTAGCTACCATTAATTAAGTAGATATTTATAGTGTTATTTGGCTCCCAATGGTAACCTCCTGTGGAAACACGTTTCGGCTCATAAATGGATTCTGAACCACTGTTTATTTGCTTGGAATCACTTGTCATGTTTTTTGCAGTGTCTCTGCTATTTTTGATCAGAAAAAAAAAGTGAAGTGTTGTTATATTTTTGTAATTACCAAATGAGCAATTGACAAGTTTTCTTTAATTTGGGATTCAGCACAAAGTAGGACTGGGTGGGAAAACTCAGTAGATCAGGAGCATTAAAAATGTATGTGTTGTTTGTTTGTTTGACTTGCTGATAGTAAACAAATGGAAAGGACCTGTCTGTGACGATTCATAAGACAGCATGGTTTCTACTGTGACATAGCTGTGGTAGCAGAGACGAGGCAGTGCAGATTACAGATCTGTTTTCACATGGAAAGACGTGGACGTTGTGTCTTCGTCCTTTCCAGTCCTTCCTTCCTCCTGCTGGAGTTGCTGATGGAAGGAACTCAGATTCCTTCCCTGACATTTGTTCTAAAAGGTAACACCAGGTTTCATAAATGGACCCTCATAGGAGAGGGTCTTCTGTTTTTGCTAGATACTTAAAAATATGTATTTATATATTGTAGACTTCATATGGGAGAAATAAGTCAGAACACTCCACCATTTATAATATGTGAGCCATTTCTAGTTTAGAAATAGTCACGGGAGGTCTGTCACGCCTCAGAGACCACTCATGGTGTTAAACTGTCATGTGCTGTCGCTTCCTATTGCTGATTAGGGAGTTTTTCATAGCAGTATTTTAAATTCTAATCTATCCAAATACCCAGCACTACTATTTATATTTTCATAAATGCTATCTTTTTTACTTTAAAATATTTTGAAGTAAAAGATTTACTCAAATAACCATTGTTGCTCTATTCATAACAACCAGGAAATGGAATCAGCCTAGATATCCATAAGCAGGTAAAAGGATAGGACAGTGTGTGTGTGTGTGTGTGTGTGTGTGTGTGTGTGTGTGTGTATGGATCAATCCACATGAGTCTATTAAATGGGTAACAGAATTTATTAAGATGTAAATTGAGGAAATACACTCACGAATACAGAATGGAGTAGACTGCAGAAGTCGTCCTCTGATCTGACTGGGAGTGAATCCACCTCGCAGGCAGGAGCAGGGAGAAGGGGCATGTGACCCTTCTCCAGCTCCTTATAAGAGGTCACATACAATGGCAGGAAGCACCGCCTCCTTTGGGCCATAGAGCCCAATGTCATGGGTGGAGCAAACACTACTAAATATATAGGTGTTTTATTTGGCTGTAAGGAAAAATGAAATTTGCAGGAGAACAAATGAGTCAGGAAATTAGCATATTAACTGAAGTAACCCAGACTCAGAAAGACAAAACCTGTTTTCTCTCATATGTGGATCCTAATTCTAAGTTGTAAACATGGATATATATATATTGGCATAAGTGAAGGTATAGGTCATAAAGGTAGAAAGGGCCATGATGGGAGGAATTTTTAAGGAGGCAAGGAGAGGCTAATAGAATGTATGTGACATGAAACTGGTAAGGAGACTGCCAGTGATGGGAGGGAGCAGAGAGCAGGGTGCAGACCCTGGGGAAGAAGAGGGAGAGAGGAGGGTCAGCCAAAGCAAAGTATGTCTGAAAAAAAGCCTTAAAGCAGCACATGGCTGCTGGGTGAGAGTCGTTTTTCCAGAGTGTGGCCAGTGGTAGGTTGCCCTGTTCCAGTGGGTGTTGCTACACCTATGTGCATATGATCACCACTAATTGGACTTGGTGAGTTATAGAAGAAGAAGAAAAACAAAACAAAACAAAAAAACATGAGGTTGGTAAGGGGATGATCAAAATACCTTATGTTTATGGGTGAAATTCTCAAAGAATAAATAAACATTTTTTAATGCCATAATGAAATCCATTACTTTGGCTAATTAAGAAACAAGCAAGGGACAGGGTTGCTTAGTGGTTAGGAATATCTGATGCTCTTCCAGAAGACCTACGTTCAGTACTCAACACTTTTGTTGGGCAGCTTACAGCTACCTGTAACTTTAGCTCCAGGGGATCCAAAACCTTCTTCTGGCCTCTACAGGCACCCACACAGGATTGAGGCCCTGAGAGATTTCTCTTTTTCTGTGTTAGCATGTCCATTGATGTCATTATTGTTTAAGGCAGGCCTGTCGAATGGTCAGCCCTGAGATCGTATACATACAGGTAACATCGTATGAACTGAACAGATTGTATTTATGTAGGAATACATTCATGTGCATGCACACACACACTTGTATGTAATAAGAAAAAAAAAAGACCATAAATTTGAGAGAGAGCAAGGGGAGGAGTTGGAGGGAGAAAAGGGAAGAGGTCAATGATAGAATTTAATAAATACAATTATTATACAAATAAAATGCATTTTTCATAAAACCTCATCAGTAATCATTTCTATCTAATTCTCTTTTTAAATGCATTAATTCCACTCACACTGAAGACGCATGTTTCAGCAGATAAAGGTACCTACCTGGCAACCTGAGTTCCATTTGTAAAATTTGTATTGGATAGAAAGAACCAACTCCTTGAAAGTTTCCTCTGACCTCCACAGGTATACTCCAACATGTGCACCCACATACACACATCACTGTACACACACAAGTACTGTTTTAAAGCTTCTCAAACACACACAGTCATATAAAGGAATCTGATTGGAGTTTTCCTACATAGGGTACTGCTCCTCCCAGCTACCAGGTACAAAAATCCTCCCTTCAAGTTGTTGATCAGAGGGTCCTGGATATTCCTTAACAGTGCAGTCTATTGCCATTGTTCTTGGCTGCCCCCCAGAACTAGATGGTGAAATGCTGTTCCTGAAGACACCACACAATCAAAGTACGTGGAGGTGGTACTGCACAGGAGGTTGCCTGCCTATTTTTCATGTACTGGAAGGTACTAGGCAGGCTGCTGAGGGAAAAACATCAGTAATCTTACCCAGCTGTGATCCCTGTGATGTATAACAGGCATGGCAAGATAAAGCTGTGAGTGCAATTCTACCACAAATATGGGGGTAACCAACCACTTTCTGATTGGACTTAAATCCAATCAGGAGGTGCTGTAAATCTGGCCAAGAGTTAGCCCATGGATTGAAGCCAAAGAGATAAACCTACTGCTAGTATTTTGCTAAATGAACAGTGTCAAACTGCCCTCAAAATTCTTATTTCTGTACCTATAGGTTAGTGCAGATCTCAGACCTTACCAGAGAAATTTCAGTGGACAGGATTTATGCAGAAACTCATAACTAGTGAAAATACAAAGAATAAGTGTCTGGAGTGCTTAGCCACATCACACTCCCTCCCCAAAGATCAGGAACCATTTTGTAAGAGAGAGCTGAAAGATTCTAAGCTGGAGATTGAGGAAGACCTGATCAACAGCATGTGCTAGACATCGCAGGACCGCTGCACTCAGGAACTCAACAGCCTAGTCAGTCAGCAGTCCAGGAAGGAGCAGGAAGGGGCTCACAAGCCTCCACCCTAGCTCAGTTGCTATTGATCACATGTGCTGGACGTGGCAGGACCATTGCACTCATGAACTCAACAGCCTAGTCAGTCAACAGTCGGCTCAGGTGCTATTGACGGCTATGGTCTCTGGGGAGGGGCGGAGACTGTGTATCTGGGAGGAGTTAGGGGAAACTTGGAGGAGAATATGATCAAAATGCACTATGTGTAGTATAGAATCATTTTTAAAAGCTTGTCTTAAGTATTTACTAGATTTGTGACTGTATAAGTCTTGTCTTTTGGCCTTTGTCTATGAATTGATGAATTCAGGGTCTTAGCTAGATTTCTAATGGTGACTTTCTATTGCTCTGAGATCACCAAAGTTTTCCAAACCAGAAATGAATGAAACAAAGTACTAGAACAAACTGTTGCTGCAACCCCTGTACATATGTAAACCTTAGGATAGAAACCCTTTGCAACAAGGCTCATATGGTAAAGAAAGGTAGGGAATGGTCTTAGATATAAGACTAGAAAGGAAAGTGGTCCTTTCTCAAAGGATGCTTTGCAGAAGCCACCATCTGTGAATGGTTGAATGTAATTACATGCTCCTGCACTATGCCAAATAGGTTGTGCTTTTTACAAGGCCACAGACATTAAATAGAGCATTCACAATGTTTTGTAAATCTTAAATAATTGAGTCTTTAAGCTCCTGCCTTTTTAATGTCATTCCCTCACTTTGATCATACCAAATATGCTCATTGTTTAATCTCTATATGGAAAAAAACGCTGTATAATAAATTAGTAGGCAGTGTTAACTTTTTTGGAAAAAGGTTGAATTGATCTGCACTATTTGATGCTTTTAGGAAGAAAGTAGAGACAGCTTTTGTAAACACATTAGCTCAGAGGTCTGGGAAGTTAGGAAGAAGGCAGGTGGTGCCGAGCCAAAGACAACCGTTCTTATCTTACAGACTGAGCTGGGTGTTTTCCTGAGGACGGACATTTCTGGAAGTGTTAATTTCTCTTATGTTTGTGACACAAATATGTCTGGGCACAAGGAAGAAGCCAGATGGAACAGATGGTTTTTCATGGAGAAAGAAGAAGAGGAAGTTAGAGAGAAAGTAAAAACACTGGCTGGGGGAGAAATTTGCATTGATATGTGTAAGCAAGGTGCAATGAGACCACCAAAGTGGACCACTCTGTGGGTAGAAAGAAAGGTTTATTGTGGATCCAAGCTTCCAAGCTGTCTCTCAGGAGCAGAGAACAGCAAATGGGGGGAAGAGCCTGGCCAGTTTTAAGGGGACAGTGGTGGGGGGAGGAATGTGAGCCAGAACAGCTGGGAGTTAGAGTATCCGAAGTGGAGTGCAAACCAGAATGGCCTAGGAACTAGCACCAGAGCTTTGATCCATTACAGGCTTGTTTAATTGGAAACCAGATGCCTTTGCTGGAGGCAGTTGGCTGTAGAGGCATCTGGATACGGAAGTAATGGCTTTTCCTGACAAACAGAAACCAGATTCATAAGGTTTCTGAGGAACACTGAGTTTATGTTTTGTTTACCAGCTAACCATCCTATTTATTGGGTCAGAGTCCAGCCTGAATTAAGTCCATATTGTCATTAGGACAATGTCAGCAGGGCTGCCATACTGGGGGTCCACATTGGACATAACAATAAGCAGCTTCTGTAAGATGGAGGTAAACACACTCCTGAATCTCTTGAGATTCCCTGTGCTATGCATGTGATTGAAAGGCTCTTCTAAAGCAAGCTTTCTGGACTCCAGTTCACGAGAAATGATGACTAATATGTAAATATTAAGAAATGGCCAGTAATAAGACTGTGCTAGTCAAGTAGCTTCTAGGGAAACCCAAATTAAGATACAGTATCTTGACATGACAGCAGCCAATCATTTGCATCATCAGTCATGGATGTTTATACTTTTGCACCCTTTTTGTAGTAGCTGTTTCCCACCAGCCCTTCAGTATCCAAGAACTCACATGCAGAGATAGATGGAATACCTACTGTGTGCTAAACTCGTTATTCCTTTAATCCCACATCATTTTGTACAATAAATTTTCCTGCTTTAGAGGGGGAACAAGGATCAGAGTTCACTTCTAAATTTGTACTTTTAGTCAAGTAGAATCTACCTAAGTGATCATGGTGTCTGTTTCTCATAATTGCTGTAATTCAAAGAAACGTAGAAGAGCTGTGTGTGTACCTTAGTTGTTCTAACAAGCTGGATTAAGAATGTACCACAGCCATCTGAGTTCTAGAGGAACCTGAAGAGGAAAGCAGTGCCCTCCAAAGAAACCATTTAGTAAGTGTGAGTCATTGTAGTGATAGAGAATACAGACTCAGTTCTGAACTTTATGGAAAACCAAGGCCAAAGTGAGCTAGTTGTTCCATTTAATCCTTGGTGATGTCATAGCCCTTATTTTTCTCCTTGTGTTTCTCTAACTTCTTCCTACAGCCTGTCAACTTACTTTTGAGCCTCATATCATAGGTACCTGAACACGGTGGGTGATCTTTGCACTAGATTGTCCACTAACCCTTCAAAGGAGGTAGTTGATAAAAACTCATGTGTGTGTTCCATTTTTCATTACTCATCTATTTGCCTATCCTACATTTCTTGAAGATATTGAGTTGGTGTCATGAATATGTGCCAGCCTTTTATTTAAAAGACTTAAGTGGTTGACTATAGAACAGAGAATAGAAAAAAGTCCATGATGCAGGGTGGTTGAGTTGCAGAAGTATGAATTTGTCCAGTACCATCTAAGCATTACCTACTTGTAGTGGGTAGCTGTTCCAGCTTTGACCTGGAAGTACTACCCCCATTGAGGCTTTGGTAACTGTCAGGCCTACAAGGTGGGGCCGAGACAGGAGCCCTTAAGACTTGGGATCTGGATGTGCCGGCTCTCTTGGTTCCTGGATCCTGGACGCTGGAGGTAGATTGAGCAGAGTTCTCCAGAGAACACTGCTGGACTGCACTACACCTTTCCCGGACCCTGTAACCTATCCCTTTACTTGTAAGTTATCCCACAAAATAAACCTCCCTTTTAACTACGTGGAGTTGCCTTAATACTACAGCCAATACCTACTTGAAGTCTGTCTTTGGATACTTGTCTTATGAGCACAGTGTATAACTTTCCTGGAGAAGCATCTGCCAATTGGATGCTAATGGATTCTACTTGGCATAAGGGCTTTTGCTTTTGCTTTGATGGCTCAATTTAATGGAGGAAATAGGATGTATTGCAAATTGGTATTGGCACCTTATGGAACACTCAATGTCCATAATGTCTCTTCAGCTGTTACCCTTCCTCCCAAGATAGTAGAAGAAAGTGCTTTTCCAATTAGGAAATAGTTTCATTATCAGAGGTCATCCAGAAGAAATCTCTATTTTGCATTCTATCTACTTCTCTTCTTTGCTAGATTTAGTACAATCAGAAGTATTTTTTTCTTATGCATACTAAATATCTTTTACGCACAAATATTTTTAGATATAATCTGAATTAGAGTTATGTGAAAAAGAACCATGAAACTTGTCTTTCCTCAGGAAAACGAAATACTCTATTTATAGTAAATGTTTATATTTATATTATTTTATAATAAATGTTAAGTATAGTCTCTACTAGGTCAGACCCTAATGTGAGATAATCTGCTTTAAAGACAAAGGTCAAACTATTGTTTAAAGCAAGTTCTCTGGACTAGTGACTTCAAATGGTGGCTTCATCTAGTGACCTGACCTTATGTAAGTTACTTAACCTCTCTGTGGTTGTAAGTATCTGGTAGTTTGAATGGTTTAATCAATTTAGACTGCCTTGAGAAGCCTTTAGTATCTGGTAATACCTCAATAAATGCTCCTTCTAGTCTTTCAGCAACCTTCAAAGCAACTGCAGTATTTATTGTCCCATTTTAAGATGAGGAAGCAGAAATGACAGAACAAATCTAAAGCCACACAGATGGTGATTGTGGTACAGAATTAAATTCAGGTTTTGTAGCCCTCAACACCCATCAAATTCTCTGAAAATTAGTAGCTTTTCTCCCCACTTGTTTCTGAGGCTGTTAAAGTGGATGTGGCTCATGACATAGTGGTAAATACGTCAGTCATTTCAGATTCACATTTGTCACGTGTATATCTTCTGAAAATGAAGTAGCTACAATCTACCTGGAGGTGGGGTTGTGAAATTCAGCCCATGGAATCAGAAAATATCATGCCTATAGAATAAGAAAGATCTGAATTAGTAAACCTTTCTACAAGTGTGTGTGACTCTGAGAGATCAGAGTGGGATCACATCCAGGAGTCGTCTATTTCCTTGTAGCAGTCCTGCCTCTGAAGGGGTGCTCATCACCCTCTGTGTTTGAAAGGACAATGTATTTATCTATGAAATAGATGAGCAATCAAGAAAGCATTTAAGTCATTCTGTTTACATTGAAAGGCAGGGCCATCTTTAGTAGGTGGGATCTAACAATTCTTGAAGCAGTGCCAATAGAATGCTAATGAGTCAACAAGACCCTTGAAGACAACAAGAAGACACTGCCTCTTGTCTACACCACCTCTTCTACTACATCACTGTTTACATTCTTATCAGGCCTTGCTGTCCCTTCAGCACTTGGTTCTTCCCCTCACAGTACTCATGCCCCCTACAGCCATGGTCCTCACTCCCAGGCAAGTCTTCCCCACTCCTAACTCCAGTAGCCTTTCCTGTGCTGGTGACTTTCAAAGCTAAATTTCCTGTCTGGATTTTTATCCAGGCTCCATTTTTTTCATTAACCACTGGACACATAGCTTTGACCGTCCCCAGATAAACCTGAGTGCACAGTCCCTGCTCTGCGGCATAACTTCTCTTCCTTTCAGAAGCCCAAATATGCTACTTCCACCCTGTCCTGCACACTCCAAGAAAAAGAATATCAAGTGCAAATCTGGCAATATTACTCTTCTGTTTAAATGGCTTGGGGCCTATCTTGAGTCCTTAGGATAAAGCCTGATTTCTCAACATTAATTACAAGGGCTTTTGTAGTTGGGACCCCCACACTCCCTACATTCTCCAGCTTTCTCTCTACCCATTTCCTGCACTTTCCTCCTATCACCATCTCCCATGACACACTTTAGGCTCTGACTATTGAATTTCTTGCACTTCACAGATCCATTTTCTTGTCCTCCAGACCTGTGCTCACTCTATTCCACTTACCTTAGCCCTCATCACACCTTTGCCCATGTATTTCAAATGTAATTATTGGCTTTTTCCATAGATCATAACTTCCTTAAGATCAAGATATTAGACTCCTATCAAATATATGGTATAGGAGGAACAGCCAGCTAGCCTGATAAAACCGCAGCTGCCCTGTTCCAGGTAGTGCACATAAGCATACGTGCTAGCTACTTCCTGCTGAGCCAACTTGGAGTCTGCCTCTACACCTGGTGATTGGTAATGTACAACCATCAGAATGCTGGGGGTCAATGAGAAAGAGACAACACAGCTAAGAGAGTCTCTGGCTGCCAATGAGAAATCAGGAGAGGGTATATAGGTTCATCCCATATCCACAATAAACAAGTCTGCTGCTTGCTTCTCACCTGACTCCCAGTATCTGTGTCATTGATGCTGCACTTTCTCACCCCCTCCACAAAGGAGTGTCTAGATAGGTCAACCCTCAATATGGTTTAAACATGAAGTCTGCCCTCCATATCTGCAGGTTACTCATCTGTGGATTCAACCACAGGTAAAAAGCATTTTAAAAGTTGAATGTGTGTGGAGACCCACCGAGGCTTCCTAGTGAGAAATTACTCAAGGTCAGAGAATCTGAACTTGTTTACCCAGTAGAGCTACATAATAGGATGATTTGGCCAGGGGTGTGTGTGGTGGTATTGTGTTCCCCAAAATATTGTGTACTCTAATAAATTTATCTGGGGTCAGAGAACAGATAGCCACTAGATACAGAGGCTAGAAAATGGTGGCACTCACGCCTTTAATCCTAGCATTCCAGAGGCAGAAATCCATCTGGGATCTCTGTGAGTTCAAGGCCACATTATAAACGGCCAGGCATGGTGACACACGCCTTTAATCCCAGAAAGCCTTTAATCCCAGAAAGTGAGCCTTTAATCCCAGGGAGTGGTGGTAGAAAGCAGAAAGGTATATAAGGCGTGAGGACCAGAAACTAGAAGCATTTGGCCTGGTTAAGCATTCAGTCTCAGCAGTTCAGCTGAGACCCATTCTGGATGAGGACTCAGAGGCCTCCAGTCTGAGGAAACAAGACCAGTTGAGGATCTGGCAAAGTGAGGTAGCTGTGGCTTCTTCTTTCTGATCTTCCAGTGTTCACCCCCAAAACTGGCTCGTTTGATTTCATTAATAAGAACTTTTAAGATTCCTGCTACAGGTGTGTTTACCAGATGTTTGGAAGGGTCTACACTTGGCTGTATGGTGTGATTTGATCTTGCAAGGGGGAAGTCTTCTGCCTCTCTTGGCATATTATAAAAAAAGCCCTTTTGAATAAAGGACTGGGCATCTGGGTATTGACCCAGGGCCCTCCCGAAGCTATCCTGTGTCTCTGTCTTCCTTATCATCTCTATCTTTCTACCTAGTATTTCCTCCTTCCTCTCTTCTCCACCTAAGAACTCTTCATAAGGTGGGAACAGGTCAGAACTGGACTCTGACAGACTCCCACAAACCTGTATTGAACATGTACTTCTTTTATCATTCCCCCACAAAACCCCCCAAAAAACAGTTCAGCAAAACTATGTAACACTGACATTGTATTAGATATTATAAGTAATCTAGTGAGGTTTTAAAGAACATAGCTAGGCATATGACTGAATTGTAGAGTGTATGTATAGTATACTTGAAACTCTGGAGTCACTCCAACACCAGAACAAAAAAATATGCAGGTTTTCAGCAAATGTTACATGATTTTACATGAGAGTTCAACTTGTATGGATCATCACGCCCTGCTGATGCTGAAGGACAATCATATTTCCCTATTCTGCAGCTCTCCCTCTCTCTCTCTCTCTCTCTCTCTCTCTCTCTCTCTCTCTCTCTCTCTCTCTCTGTGTGTGTGTGTGTGTGTGTGTGTGTGTGTGTGTGTACTTGTGCATACAGTCAAGGCCAGAGGAGAACATCAAATATCCTATCACTCTTTTCTTCACCTCACTTACTTGAGACAGGGTCTTTCAATGAACCTGGGGTTATACTGGCATCAATAAGCTCTAGTGATCCTCCCATCTCAGCCCCCTGCAGGTGTAGGTGTGGACATACCAGCTTTTTATGTGGGTGCTGGGATCTCAACTTAGGTCTTCATACTTGTGCAGCAAATGTTCTAATCCACTGAGCCATCTCTATGCCAGCCCCCATATTGTCTTTTCATGTTTTGTTATGTGAAAACCTTTTCATTTGATGTAGTTACACACACACACACACACACACACACACACACACACACACACACACACTGTGTTTTAGTCACTGCTACAACAAACATCAAGAGATTTTTTTTCTAGGAGCAGGTTCTTTAAAAGGAAGATAAATGCTGGGAGACATCAGGACCCTTACACTATCCAAGACTGTGTAAGTGGTATTAGTATACAAAAAGCATATGAGCTACTTTATCATATATTCTGCATATGATTACAGAGATAGTGTTCCAGCATTAGCCTGTGTTTGTGGGGAGAGGAGCCCCACACTTCCTAAATGATTAAGCAAAAGCATTTAACATAGACTAAGTGCCATGCCTCTGTCTGGACCTTCTCTCAGAAAAGCAGCTTATTCATGCTGATTTTTTTTTTTTGAGTGAACTTAAGTGAAATAATGCAAGGCGAGAGAGGTCCAGTGCTCTACTGTCCGCTAAACAGAGGTTAAATGATTCTATGACCATCATAGTTTCTTTGTCTTCAGAACCGCTTGTGTATGAGTCCTGGATGTGAGTTTACAAGGTCTTTGGGAACTTTGGTCTATGATGTGAACTTACATGTACAGAATTGTAGGTCTGAAGGGTGTGTATATGATAGAAAGTTGGGAGTTGAGGGGAGAAGAGGAAAGGAAGAACATTTAATAGATGCTTCCAAATTACCCTCTAAATCATTGTACCAGTGTAGCTAGAGTCTTCCTGCCTGGCCCACAGTCAGGACAAATCTCTCTCACCTGCCAGTCCCACAGCCACTCAGACCCGACCAAGTAAACACAGAGACTTATATTGGTTACAAACTGTATGGCCATACCAGGCTTCTTGCTAACTGTTCTTAGAGCTTAAATTAATCCATTTCTATAAATCTATACCTTGCCACGTGGCTCGTGGCTTACCGGCATCTTCACATGCCGTTTGTCATTGTGGCGGCTGGTAGTGTCTCTGACTCAGCCTTCCACTTCCCAGCTTTATTCTCCTCCTTGTCCTGCCTATCCTTCCTCCTGCCTGACTACTGGCCAATCAGTGTTTTATTTACCAACCAATCAGAGCAACACATTTGCCATACAAAACATCTCACAGCATACCAGTTTATAGACTCACTAATACTTAATGAGAAATTTTCTTTTTCACACTTGTCCACACAGTATTATCAATTGACTCACTCTCTGCCAGTCTGAAAAGAGTATCTGAGCCCCCTTGATTTTTTTCTTTAATAGTGAAGTTAAATGTTTTTTCATACTTCCATTGGTTATCATATTCTGTCACCTACTCATATCCTGTGACCATTTTGAAAATAAAATTTTGAATGTATTATTTTCTTGATGATTTACAAACATTTGTGATTACTTAGAGTATCAGGTCTTGATCCTAGGATGACATTTGATTACAAAGGACGCTTTTGTGTTTTGAACTCTTAAATCTATAATGAAGTTCCCTCCAATTACAGAGCTAATTATGCTATGTATATGCTAATAACAATAAATGGAGATGTTTGACATGGTTAAAAAGTTAGAGAAGTGGGTGTAGGTAAAATATTTGGGAATTAAAATTGTTCTTTATTATGAGAGAAATGGTTGCTGTTCTATAAACCAAAGAAGGTTCCTAAATCTGGTAATGAATTGCCTTGTCAGGTTTACAAAAATCTCTGTGAATAGAAATTAGTCCTTGTTCTAGCATGACTAGTGTATGCCACAAATAGTTTGCTTTTATTTTTCATAAATAAAAAATGCCTTATAGCAATGTTTCTTGAATGATTAGCTTTAGACTCACCTGGGAAGAGCATCTCAGTGAGAGATTGTCTACAGTTTAGTTGGCCCATGGACATATTTGTAGGGAACTATTTTAAATTAATTGATGTGAGAAGACCATGCCCACTGTGAGTGGCACCATTCCTTAGGCAGGGTGTCCTACACTATGGAAGAGTGGAGACAGATGAACACAGTAAGCATGTGAAATGCTGATGCATCCATTTCTCTCCTAACTGTGTGATGATGGACCACTACAAGCTCCTACTGCTTGATTTTTCTACAATGAGTTGTAAGCCAAGCCCTTTCTCCCTTAATGTTGTTTTTGTTAGGGCATTTCATCACAAGAACAGAAATGAAACCATAACAGCTCTATAGTTCAGCTGTGTGTTTAGAGCTGATAGGAAATCAATGGTTTTGAGGTACTTCTGAATTTAGCACATAGGCTAAATGTTGTAGGGGTATTTTTTAATGGAAGCTAGTATATTATTTTGCTTTGTAGGGGTTATTACTTACAATTCTGATACATTGTATTGAGTGCAAATGACAATATATTTTAAATTTGCATAAGTTAGACTTGCTATAGACATTGGTTTTGTTAGAAAAGAGAATTTTCTGGGTCAGAAGTTGTAAATTAGCCTTCTCATGTATACATCCCACAGATGTTTCCCTTATAGTTATGAAGTATTTTGATTATAAATGTGTAAACTATTTTGGTTTCAAATGCTAGTGCTAAAAATAGAGATGTTTCTTTTGAAAAGGAGAAGTTTTGCAATAATGGACAAAATTCACGTTAATAACAAATTGTAACCGCATAGCTGCTGTTATTTTCAGGCACAGTCAGTTGTCTCCAGTTCATCACTGGTCTGCCATGTGTATGAATTTACTTTCTCCATCTGAGGTCACAATGTAGATTGGTCTTCCCCTATTTGTGGGCAAATAAAAATATAACAATGTGCATGTAAAGAAATTTCTTAATTTTTCTTTAGTAAATTAAAGGCATCATGAAGCTTTTTGATTTATTGTGTTTTTTTCCCCCAGATACATCAATTTCCTTAAGAGGTGATAGGAAACACTAGAAGTAGTCAGCATCCTAAAAATGTTAATTTTCTTCACAACTGATCCCACTAGCTGGTGGAAAAGAAAGTAACTTCAAAGTCAGACTTCCTGGAGTTCCACTATTTTACGCTGTAATTTCTTTAAGTCTTTCTGTACTTTATATTTCTCTAAATCCATTTTTGTTTTTTGTATTTTTTGGAGAGAGCTGAGGGAGTCATGAATTGATTTAAATCCTAGAAGAAGAAAAGAGAATAAATATACTGTAACAATGCATTGGATCTTTCCCACCCCCAAATTAGCTCTTCTGCAGTCCTTCCGTAATTGATCATCATTTAATTCAAAGCACATTAAATTCTATTAAGACAAATCTGAAAATATACAAAGATAAATTGGTTCATAGCAGCTTAACTGGAATCTGGACTTATTGTGAAAACTGTTTTCCCCTCTCTGTAAACATACTGGCTAGTATAATAATTCTTTCAGGAGATATCTAAAATATTTTCTTCTCTCTGTAGGCTTTGAGAAAAGATTTGTGACCTTTAAAAATTCCTCTTACCCCCTTGACACATTTACCTGCTTGAAGGAGCTAAAGAGTGCTGCCTGCTGCCCTCTTACACACACACACACACACACACACACACACACACACACACACACACACACCCACACACACCTCTCCACTCCCCCACCCACCCCCACCCCCACCTCCACCCCCACCCCCACCCCCACCCCCACCCATGCTCTCTATTTGTCTTCCTCATGTCTAGTCCCTCAGGACCATAGGCCTATCCGACCACAAGTTTAGAGTACAACCTGTGTCCTACCCTGAGGTCTTCCACATAGTTGCTTCTCAACACTTTTTTATTAAAAGCACAATGGAGTAAAACACTCATTTGTACTCTCAATTAGAACTCCCACTTAGTAAAATAAAGACAAAGTTTGAAAAATTCTCTTCAACTCATCCTAAGCAACTAGCATAATTAAACCCCTGAAAACGAAGCAAAGGTCCTTGTCAGAAGAGCCCATTGAGTTTGGGATATGACTCCTGGCCACATGAGTCACTATTTTAACTCAGTGGAAGGAGGCAGGGCTTGTGAGGGTTAGCTTTCTAGGCAGCACATTCTGTTTACATGCTGGGACACTGGGTGGACAGAGGCTGTGATGCCTTCTCAAGGCACCTCCATTGTGCCTCTGTAGGGCCACAATTTTGTGGAATTTACATGTGTATTTTTTTAAGACCTGGATGATACAACACATACTAGAGCTTTCTTTAATAAAAGAACTTGTGTTCCTCAGAATTGTGACTCCAGGCAGATGGCTGCTCCATAGCCCCTATTCCTTCTTCTTCTCTTTGACAGATTAGAAGAGCCTTTCAAATCAATCCTTTGAAGTCAGCTCAGCTTGACATGGCTGCCTTTAGCCTCTTAAGAAGAAAAGCAATCATTACAAGGACTCAGCTAATGCATCTCTCTTCCTCACTTGGAAAGGTCAAGTTGCCATCTGACATCTGTCTAATTACCTGGAGTTCTAATGAGAAGACCATTTGACTTAGTCTTCTAAGTTCATAATGGAGCCATAAGTCAGGTCTTTGTGAGCCCAAGAACTTGTTATCTCACAAGTCCTACGATCCAAAGATCTTAGAAAGTAAAACTTCTCACAGCAATGGCAGGCGTGTGACATCGCCAAGAGAAAATGAAGAATGCCTACTCATTTACTTACCTTTCATGTTCTGCTGACCTCCTGGAAGATGTTTAGGGAAGCCAGATTGAATGCATGATGATGTCACTAATGACAAGACTGGCTAAAACTAGAAACCTGGGAGAAATTGAGACAGGAAGTGAAGGCCAGCTATTCTCTGCTCACCTGATTGATAGTCACTTTGCATTTTCTCTAATTCACCCCAGATCCGCTTTTCCATTTGGTTCATCTTCTTGGACAGTTTATTTTCTATGAGTTTTATTTTGTGTAGTTCTGCTTCCTGTTTCTGGGAGTTAATGTAATTCTCCAAGTTGCTTGAAAGTTGCAGTATTTTTTCTTCTGTTTTCGTCTCAGACTTTTCCTAAAAGAGATCATGTGATAAAACTCTTAGGAAAAGAGAAGCGGAGTGGATTTATGCTTCAGCTTAGAGAAAGTGCTGTTTTCTTCATGGAAAACACCAACTTTTATGTATCAAACTGTGGTCATAAGTGTGAGAGTTGATTCCTTTGTTTAACTTGGTCCCTTCAGGGCTCTTGTGACTATATATAGAGGGGCTGGAACTGCTGAAGGGCCTGGAAGGTTTGGAAGTGTAGTCTGGTGTTTAAAGTATCACATAGGACGAGAATAGATACTGCGTTCTCTAGGCTCCTTGAAAATGCTTCTAAGTGTTAGAACTAACCCTTACTCCATAGAAGTTTACATCTCCATGTGGACCCCAATCAGTGAGAAGGGTGACTCTCCACTCCAGCTGTTCATTTTTTCTACAACCCCCTAGGTCATACCCCACCCCAGAAGTTCTGACTTAATTGGTCTACGATGAAGCTCAGGAGTTAATACAGTAGGAAAGATCAGCAGGTGTTCTAAAGTGTTTGGGGGGCACAGCATGGGGGCGCAGCGGCAGCCTATAACAAACAGGGAGGAGAGACTGAGTACAAATGGCATGGCTCCTTTGAGTCTGTTTCCTGCTGTTGGCTTCAGGAATGGTGGGTTCAGGCTTTCTCTTCCTCACAGGATGATCGAGGGGCACCTCCTACTGCTTATAACTGGTAGAGGGCTTGGAGTGCTTGTGGAGTTGGGGAAGGAGCTGGCTCACTTAGCAGCCTGGAATCTGACTGCACCCTAGACCTTGTGCTGCCCTTCTCTGTGGATGCGGGGCGCCAGCTGGACAGGGAGAAAGAAGCCCAGACATAGGAATATTTCTCATATGCCTTGTCAGCCTCACTCCAAAGACTGGGACTTTCTTCTTATGGTCTGTTCTGGAAAACAGTTCTTAAAACTTTTGGTCTATGCCAGGCATGGTCCCAGCAGTCAGGAGGTAGACACAAGCAGATCTCTGTGAACTCCAGGCCAGCCTGGTCTACACAGTGAGTTCCATGCCAACCAGAGCTACACAGTAAGATCCTGTCTCAAAAAGAAAAACAAACAAAACTTTGCATCTACTAATAGATCTCCAGATAGGGTAAATTTCTTGTCTGTCCAGAAACTTTCAAACTGTCATGAGGCCAATTTCATCTAGGAAACTTGCCTAGAGCCATAGATTCCTAATGGAGGACCCCAGAAAATTGATTCTTAGGTTTGGGCTGAGAATGTCTTTTTAAAAATTTTTTTCTTTAAAAAGAAAATTTCTTCAAATTGTTTTGGTGCAGGGAGGGTATGATCTGGGAAATGTAGGCTCACACATCTGCAGGGAATCTTCCTGGATCAGAGGCAGGCACCGGACTCCTATAGAGATTTTAAAATACAAATAAGCTCCCATGCAGCAAAGATTACTGTCAAGGCTGGAACAGCCACACAGATCACCCAGAGGACAGTGACCATGTAGCTGTGTGAACCTTATGAAATAGCAGAGCTCCTTACCAGCTTTTCCTGCACAACCTTCAGACATTCATTTATGTGACCCAGGTGGTCTTTTCTGTACTTGATAAACTGGCTTTCTGTCCATTTTTGATTGTTTTCAACTTCTTCATACATGTTTGTAGAAAGTGAGTTAAATCTAAGGAAAAAATTTAATGAGTGAACTTAAAAAATTAGCATTAAAAAAATGCAGTAAGATAATGGCCCCATGTGCCTGGGTGGTACTTATAGGATAACTTGGGAGGTGGGGGTACAGCCCAGCACTGTCAGCAGCCCTCAGTACACCACCGAATGTAAACCAACATGGTGACAGCTAGATTGTAAGCTCACTGGTAACATTCTCATACAGAAATGCATTTTGTTATCCATGTGGAAATCCCCTCAAGGCTTGAGGTTCACTGTGTGAGGGAAAGAAACATTCAAGTCACTTTGTGCAAAGAGCTAGATTGTAAGTATTTCAGGCCCTGTAGCCTTCTGGTTTTTGTCAAACAATGCTGCCACTATGGTAGGAGAGTAGCCATAAATAACACAAACAAATAGCATAGCTGTGCTCTGATCAAACTGGGTTTGTATAAACCCAGAGTCAAAGTCCAAGAAATATTTTCAGGTCATGAAGTATAATTCTTCAAAAATTATTCAAAAGTATAAACTGCATCACCTCTGGGCAGTTTGCCTGCCCAAGTTTGCTGACCCTTGCTTTACAAGCTCCACTATGAGGCAAGGAGACAAAAAGCACCTGCAATGTTCAGTAGAGGAAGGTGGGGGAGAGACCCAAAAGTAGCTTGGAGAGAAGTGTTTAAAGTTTGGCTTGGGTAGTGTGCGCCCTGGGGAATCATCATCACCATCTCTTCTGCCCAGTTGATCCGTGTGGGTGGCTTTGGGGCTTCTGGTGACATCATGTGTGCTGAGTTAGTCATGTGGCAAAACAACGACCCCAAACAAACAAACAAGCCTGAAGCAGCAGTTACAGAAAGGGCCTGCTAGCATGGCCAACTGTAAGAGCCTTAAATAACAAAGAACAGAAGATTCTAGCAATGGACATGAATGTTGTTTCAGAGGTTCAAAGCATTGTAAATAGGTAGAATTAATATAAAACGTCACTGTGGAGTGGATGAGGGACATACAGGGGAATCATCTGACATCACAGAGATGTGCATCTGAGAAGGAAGGAGAGGAAGCATGGAGGCTTGTGAGTTGTTCCTAAGATGGCAATTTCAAATTCCCTTTAGGAACAGGCCAAAGAATCAGGCTGACAGGAATAATGTATGTTGTTTGTCACTGATGAGAAAATACTTCACAGTGTGAAGTATTGGCAAAGTAATAATTGTTCTGATATTTTTCTGATAAAATTAGGTACAGATTAGTTTATGGTAAATCATTAGAAATCAAAAGATGTGAGGGACATATGACACATGTTTATATCTTTCGGGATGCCAAAAAAAGTATTTGGATTCATACTTAAAAAATATAAGTATCAGCGAGTATGTTAGCATACAGCTACAATCCCAGCACTTGGGGGCAGAGGCTGGAGGCTTGTTCAGAATTTCAAGGCAAGCCTGGTCTACTTATTAAATTGTAGAATAGACAGGGCTAAATAGTGAGACGCTGTCTCCAAACAGAGGAGAGAAGGAGGTGGATGGAAAGGAAGAGAGAAAAACAACAACCAAAAACAGGTGTTACAAGATAATTTCTATTTAGACCAGTGGCCGTCAACTGCAGGAGGTGAAGTAATATCCAGAGACATTTTCATTGCCAGCACTGGGAGGTGCTGTCGGCATTTAGCAGGTAGAGACTAGGGCTGTTCCTAAGCATCCTCCAGTGGCACACAGCCAAGAATCACACAATTGAGCCATCATCAGCAATGCTAAAGGCTGGAATCCCTGACTTGGATTCCAAAGCAAGGCACAAGGAAAGGAAGTTCATTAAATTCTCATCTTCATCGAATCTAAATTTTCTAACATTAATTTCTGAAACACATAGAAAATATATCTTGATTCAGCTGGGTCCCTCAACAATGAAGAAAATGAAGTCAGTTTCTCTTCTTAACAGTGTCATAATTTCCAATCACCTGTGCAGCCAACTAATTGTTGTTAGATCTCAGACAAATAAGACCAATAAGTGTTATGTGGACAAAACCATTTGGACCGACAGTTTCTTCTTTTAGGAATGCTTCCTCAGTCTCGCCGGCTCTCACTCATTCAAACTTGTCTGTTGGTAAACACCATTTTAATAGAAGTCTCTTTTCTGACCACCCTGAGAAAGAGGGCCCTTTACCTCCAATGAATTCGCTTACCCCATGTCTTAACTGTTCTACTGCTGTGAAGAGACATGACTGTTACATAAGAAGAGAGAGAGAGAGAGAGAGAGAGAGAGAGAGAGAGAGAGAGAGAGAGAGAGAGAGAGAGAGCCGAGGATGGGCTTTTAGGATGGGCTTTTAAAACCTCAAAGCTCATCCCCAGTGATAGACTTCCTCCAGCAAGACCACACCTACTAATCCTTCCCAAACAGTTCTAATGAGTCTAAGCATTCAAACACCTAAGCTTTGGGGACCATTCTCATTCAAACCACCAGACCTCATTTATCAAAAATTAAGTAGGCATAGCTTTGTCATTTTATTTCTGTGTCTTCAATTCTATTACAATGGTCTATCTGTGTGTGGGGCCATCCCACCCCCACATTTCCCCAGGGTACTCTTGAGCAGGAGCAGCAGGAAATATTAGATAGAAAGATGGCTAGAGAGAGAGAGACAGAAACACAAGACAGCCTCTGGAAGGACTGTATCCTTATCCATCAGGCCCTGTCTCTGCCAAAGGGCTTTTAAAGGAATGCCAAGAGGTGGAGCAAAAGACCTCCCCCAAGCATAGCCAAGTGCAGATCATCTCAGACACCTGGTGACCATGCACATGGTCAAGCCATCCCCAAATGCAGCCTTGCTGTGCAAAGCAAGCTCAGATCTCACTAGGAAACCTCTGTGGATCCCAACAATTCCTTCTTAATTTTTTAAAGAGCCCCTCAGGCCCCATCAGATAGACTGAGGTCTACCTTAGGTCGTTCTCCATGATTATTTCTTCCATTACCCATAGGCTAGAAGCTATCAAGAGAAAGTTGCTCGTCATTGACTTTCAGCCTCTGGTAGGAGGGAGTACTGGGCTTACCTTAGCTCTGGTCCAGTTTCCTATTGAGCTTACAACCACCACAGTGATCTCCATAGCTGCCACACCTCCCAGTACAGGAGTAGGGGATGATAGAAATGGTATATCTTTTTTGGAATGGGTCTTAAGATGTCTATAACAATTTTAGCTGTGCCAAGCCCTTTTTCAACTAAAACTCTTGATGCATACTGCATCCAATAAATTAGCTTTATGCCACTCTGGTTCATTAACCTCAACATAATTCTGGTATAAACATCACCATACATATTTACAACTCTCTTAACTGAACTATTATCAATATACATATTTATACTTTTTTGCTAGTTTACATTAAGCATTTAGACTCACATTCAACATTTACACTTTTCACAAACTCACATATACTTATTTATATTTCTTACAAGCTTATAGTCTTAAGGAAACTCTATAGGACTACCTTAGCAAATATACTTCTTAGAAAGACTCACACAATATCCTTATGCCTAAAGCTTATTCTATCCTAATATAAACTTACATTCTACAGGACTACTTTCTTAGAAGCACTATTTACCAAACTTATATTTAAGAGAAACCTATAGAACTATTAGAAAGACTTTCTTAACAAGACAGGAAATATGCAAATAATTTCTAAAGTTCAGAGTTTATAGTCAGCTTTGATATCATTCTGAAAGTTCTTGAGAGTTTGAAACAAAAGTCTAATTCTTTTTTTTTAAAGATTTATTTATTAATTATGTATACAATGTTCTGCCTGCGTGTACGCCTGCAGGCCAGAAGAGGGCACCAGATCTCATTACAGATGGTTGTAAGCCACCATGTGGTTGCTGGGAATTGAACTCAGGACCTCTGGAAGAGCAGCCAGTGCTCTTAACCTCTGAGCCATCTCTCCAACCCAAAAAAAAAAAAAAATGGCTCTCTCAACCCTGGGATTTAGCAAGTTCTGTTGCTAAACAGTACATTATGCATTCCAGATCTTTTATAAAAAACTCTAGTAAGAGCTATCTCAATTTACAAACAAACCTGAAAAGGAAGAAAAGAGATGAGAAGAAAAACCTCCTAAGAGGCATTCTGTTTCTGGATTGCTCAGATAGCAATTTTCTGTTACAGCAGTAAAGCTACCAAAAAGCCTTGCTTTAGGCTGAGGGTGAAATTACCTATGGAACTGTAATAAAACTCTTAGCAAAAATTTTTTGTAAATATAAGACACTTTCCAAAGGAGCCTGTATCATCTACTTGGTCAAAAATGGCACAGCTCTGAGCTCTGTTCCATTTCAGTCTGTATTAACCAGTGATGAAACCTCTGTCCCAAACTCCTCAGCAGTCTGAGGGTCTCCTTATTCCCTTACTATCCCCAGACTGCAAGATGGAACTTCAACAGCAGGGAAATTGGTTTAGCTCCTTTTTACTTCAGTTTGTCATTGGAGATGACATTCCTCTGTTCCACACTCATCACCAAACTCTTAGACAATTTTCCCCTTCTTAATTTTTTAAAGATGTTTTAAGTTTACCATGAGCATTTTTTTATGATGTCAATGTTTCTCCCTTGAATCTTAAGCACAACTCAATCTCTTAAGTTTTTTTTTTCACACCTGAAGCCATCTTGCAGTGTAAATTACCTTTTTCTCTTGTTTTCTAAAAGTTTGTAAATGACTTGTTGATAAACAGTATTAGCATTTTAATTTTCTCCTGTGAGGCAAGTTGTTTGTTCACTCTCAGCTTTTTGGGAAGTTAATCTAAGCTTTCTAGTAGTACTTAGGAAAGAAGCTTCATTTCTTTTCAAGCTGAAAAAACAGAGTTTTGGGCAGTACTGCCATTTTTAGCAGAAAAACTACATTTCCCATTATGCATTTCTCTATATCAGCCCACTGTTCTATTAGGTACTATCTTTCAGACTTCATTTCCCAAGCTGCCTTTCTCTACATTGGCACACTACTACAAACTACCTTTCCCATAATGCCTCTCAGGCCCGACACTTCTATTTCCCTTTACA